TAAGTTTAATTTTTAACTGTTTCCCTTTCTAAGACTTTCGAGTACAATTTAATTTATAAAACATACATTTTAAGTATTTTCTATTTTGTAGTTTTTGTCAGTGCAAATACGTCTCAAGTGGTCAGAATAAAGGAAATAAAAAGCCTGAAACTGATGTGAGTAAATCTACAGAGTAGGGTAAAAAATCTATTTAAAATATAAAGAGAACAAAGAATGGTTGATAATAATAATCAAAGAAAGCCGGGGCTCTCCGGCATACTCTCCGGCATACTCCCGACATACTCTCCGGCATACTCTCCGGCATACTCTCCGGCATACTCTCCGCCTTTACTCCGCCTCATATAACTGGTTAATCCTCTGCCTTTCGGTTTAAGCCCAGGCAAATCCTATTTCCTCCTTGCTCGTGGTTCAAGCCTATTTAGCTCACGCCTATTGGCTTGAATTTGAACTAGAATTTTGTGTCAACGGTGGTTTTGGTTTTCCACACGTTCAAACATGCATTAAAAACATGTTTTCTGGGTTGGCATTTTTCAAATATCTTTACACGTTATACACGAGGCGACTTATCATCTGCCCCACTGATATCGTTGACTACAGTTTATTTACAAGTAAGCTTCTCTTTATGCTTACAATATGCATATTAAACCTTTGAGCCAGGTTTTTAAATTTTTTTTGCTCCGAGTTTTAGAATTTTTGTTCATTTTGTAAGCCGTAGACAGACTTACAAATCAAATAGTAAAATAAATTCTTGTAATTTTCAGAGTCAATCAAAATAAAAAGATTAAATTGCACATCGAGAAATTAATAGCAAGCTTAATTTTATTGCAATCAATGTCGACATTTCTAAAACTAGCTGTTACTGCTGTTTCCTGTAATAGAAATATCAAAGTAAAATTCGAAAATTAAGATTTTTTTGTCCTAGTTTTACCTGTCCTCAATGATGCACGGCCTGTTAAGGAGAGGACCGCTAGTCTGGGTAAGATTAGGACATGAACCCAGAGGACCATAACTGCGTCCTGTTTTAGCATCCTGTCCTCTTAAGCTTGCAACAACCTAAATATTACAGATTTTATTCCGATGTCCAAAATTTGTTTTTTGTTTAATTCTGTCTGCACGTTTTTATTTTAAAATCTAAAATTGAAAACAAAAAATGTATTACAACTATAAAGTTTGTTAATGTCTGAACATTTTTATAGATATTTAAATGAACAAATATCCAACTTTTTTCTACTCAAAAAATCAATGATTTTTTAATGGCAAGGATTCATTTACGTAATTTTGTAATTATAAACTTTTCATGTCTTTAAAAAAGGCCATTTAATCATTAGAAATAGGGGTTAAAAGTAGAGTACAGTGCGTTTTTTGGTTGTATTTAAAACATTGCAGAATTTGTTTATTCGTATCTTTCAACCCGAATAGTATTTGCAAGAAAAGATGTTAACCCTATCTCTGCTGGGGTACTTGAAAACCAGGATGTGCACCCCCCCCCCCAGCAGGAATAGGGTTAAGTTAATCGAACCAAAATTACTTCTTCTAAACTTTATTATTTAGTTTGCATATCCTTGGTCGCGAACATTTTCAAAGAATTATGCAAAATAATGCATTTTTAAAATATTTGAAATGTATTTTATGAGCTAGGCTTTGTAGGGTTTATTATTTATCTTTTTGATATTTTTTCAACCAGTAGTTTCTTCATAAAGATCTTTATATATTTTTGTAAATTGCAGTATTTGGTTATAGTTTTACATTAATATATGAAATTTCAATTAAAAAGATAAATTAATACCACATTTCCATAACAATTGATGCCTCTGAAAATGTAAAACTATGTTCATGTTTACACAGTAGATTTGTAGCACATTTACAATTTTCACATAAGTTTAATTTTTAACTGTTTCTGGTCATAAAGCTTTATTTGTTTTAATCTCACGTGGTATTGATAATCAGACTAAGTTGATAATAATTGGAAAATCTGCAGATGTATTAGAAGGGGTAAGATAGTTTAAAAACTGAATATTTTGTATAGCCAGTGTTCTGTATAAAATATTAAGATATAGTTTAAAAACTGAATATTTTGTATAGCCAGTGTTCTGTATAAAATCTTAAGAGATAGTTTAAAAACTGAATATTGTATAAAATTTTAAGATATAGTTTAAAAACTGAATATTTTGTATAGCCAGTGTTCTGTATAAAATTTTAAGATATAGTTTAAAACTGAATATTTTTAATAGCCAAAAGTTCATTCTTGTCGGATTTGGGTGTATATATTTTGTTCGGTTTCTCAGAAGAGAAAGGATTTATACGTTTTACTAAAGTTAGTAATTGGTATTTTTGCAGAAAATCTGACTTAACTATAGCGAACTTTACTCTAAACAAGATTATTCCGATAAATTTATATTTGTTTATCATGTCAGAACTGGGAATTCAGACTGATTGCTGGTATCTTCAAATGTCAAATCATGGTTTCTATATTTATCCCGATAAACGTCATGAAATATTTCATGATAATACTGGAACCTTGTGAATAGAAAACAACTAAATATTTAAAAAAGTTGTAGAATTGTCTTCAATGAAGGCCTTGAAATAGATAAACACGATACATGATAATACATTAATTATTATTTTTGCTTTCTTTATAACTTAAAGTAACAATCGACGATTTCTTCCAGAGTAGAAGGTTAAACATGGACATTGGACATCATCAGACATTCCACTCTTTTAATTAAACCATCACATAAAACTATGTCTACAATCCCAATAAAGCCTTTAAAGAAAATTCCTTTGGAAAATACAAAATAGAATTATTAAATTGAATTATTGTAATACAAATCTTATTGTACAATCAACCCAAATCCAATATTTTGTTGGCAAAGCTTCAGTACTATTACTTTTGCAGATGAAAGAAGGAATTGGTATCAATGATTAAGAGTACTAACACACTGATATAGACAAAGAAAATCATAAAATAAAAATATTGTTTTTGTTTATACATTTTTCTAACAAAAGATTGTAATAAGATATTTTAGTCTCTAATTCCTATTATAAAGTGATATAGGAACCTTACCAATGCTATTAATTCTCCTACAATACCATAAATACTAAAAACAGAGACTTTTTCCAATACATAAATACTTAAACACTTAACAATACTTACACACTGAATATAGACTTAAACAGTGTTTACAATACATACAATATGTACAGACTTAAACAGTGTTTACAATATATACAAACTTAAACAGTGTTTACAATATAAACAGACTTAAACAGTGTTTACAATATATACAGACTTAAACAGTGTTTACAATATATACAGACTTAAACAGTGTTTACAATATATACAGACTTAAACAGTGTTTAAAATATATACAGACTTAAACAGTGTTTACAATATATACAGACGTAAACAGTGTTTACAATATATACAGACTTAAACATGGTTTACAATGTATACAGACTTAAACAGGGTTTACAATATATAAGACTTAAACAGTGTTTACAATAAAGAAGACTTAAACAGGGTTTACAATATAGACAGACTTAAACAGGGTTTACAATATATAAGACTTAAACAGGGTTTAAAATGTATACACATTTGAACAGGGTTTACAATATATACAGACTTAAACAGTGTTTACAATATATACAGACTTAAACAGTCTATAAATACATACAGGGTTAAATAGGGTTTCCAATGATTTGTAATTAAATAACTCCACCTGGTTTAATGGACCATGTTTAGGTTTGGGCAAAAAATCCTCCGTATTTCCATTATTTCCCTCGAATTCGCCACCAATCCTGGGTCCCTGTGCATCCTGCAATGAGTAAAATGGTTTTAAAAACAATTGAAGGTTTAAATGTGTTAATGAGCACTGTTAGAATAAATAAAGAATGACAGAAAAAATATGGGCAATTTAAAATGTTTTTTTTCTGCATTCATGAAGAAATTTGAAATTGTAACAGTGTTCTCCGAGCACTGAATTATAACCAGAGCTGAAAACTTTAGAATGGTGGATATCAGGATTAATGCTTAATCAACTCCTTTTCATAATATCCAGATTAAATATGGCTTGTTTTCCTTATGAATTTAATCTCCAGAAAAGTCAACAGACCAGGTTTAAGGATATCTCATTCTAAAGTTTTCAGCTCAGATAAATATGCGTGATATATATTTATCCCGATGTCGTTAACCTTGTTTCAACTGAACAGCGTATATTTAATACTTTAGAATATACTAAGAAGAAAGGAACTAGAGAATTTAAATAACTTTTCCTTAAAAGTTAGCCCAGAACTGAAAATTGTGAATTTTCTTATTACAATTTTGCCAATTTTCTGTGATTCCGTGATTCAATCTTAATAAAATTTTAGATTTAGAGAGACATAATATGAATGCACATTTTAGCTTTTCTGAACTTTTGATTTTGAGAGAAAAAAGATTCACGGATTTTCTTTTGGACCATTGGAGTACCAAAAAAAATTACAAATTTTCAAAAAATATTGAAAAAAAACACCATACAGGAGAGTTGCACAAAAAAGGTACAAAGGTACAATTTTGCACCAGGCGCCGCAAATCTCACTTTTTTTGACTCACCCTGTAGTTATATGTTCGAGTAGTTTATATAGGTGTATACTGTTTATATATTCGATATACGTACAAAATAATATGATTATAGTTCGAGTAGTTTATATAGGTGTATAGTGTTTATATATTCGATATACGAACAAAATAATATGATTATAGTTCGAGTAGTTTATATAGGTGTATACTGTTTATATATTCGATATACGAACAAAATAATATATGTAGTTATATGTTCGAGTAGTTTATATGCGTGTATTCTGTTCATATATTCGATATACGAACAAAATAATATAATTATAGTTCGAGTAGTTTATATAGGTGTATACTGTTTATATATTCGATATACGAACAAAATAACATATGTAGTTATATGTTCGAGTAAATACCAAAATATAGAAAATAATCAATAAAAACTAATAATTTGTTGATATACGATTAGATTAGTTCGAATATACAATCAGAGTTTCCAAAATTTTGTCAGCCAAAAAAAATTGGAACGAAAGTGAATATATGTATTTAATTTTTTTTGCCGAAATAAACATATATACTCCCTGCCTACCCCGGACTAATTAATTATGCTTAATTATGCTTAATTAGCTTAGTGTTCCTAATTAAACTTGGTATTCCTTTATCACAAAGGGTTGTATAATAAAATTATATACATTGCATCATTAACTACAGAAATTAATGTTAAAAACTAATCACTTGCAGACAAATTCTAATTTTCTAATTATTATATATATCTTTGCAAACTGGCGCCGGAGAACTTTCATATTTCAAACCAAGAATTTTACAATAGGTTAAAGTTTGAAAAGTCAACGGTTTACGCCATCAGATTACAAAGTTATGAAGAAATAAAAGTTAGATTTTACGATAAGTGTCTAGAGTTTCTTTTATTTAAAGAAATGTTTTACGTTGATTCCCTTTAAATTTTTTTCTGAACAAGTGCTTGATCTTGTATCACAAGCATAGAGAGAAGCTTACTTGTAAATAGACCCAGGAGACTTTAATACCGGCAACAATGGGACGATGGGACGATGATGATGTTAGAAGAATTAGAAATTAAGTTAGTATTTAGTAGGAAAAACATTACTTTTTTGGGCCGAGCTGTTGTTCTTAGAAACTTATCCCTTCCGATTATATAGGGATACATTCTTTATAGAACAACAGTTTGAGCATATTATTGACCTCTAACTCTGCTAAACTTGTTCACACTACCTCTAACTAAAGTCAAGCTTTAATTTCAAATGTTTTCAATAAAAAGTGGGAACTTCCCCCCCCCCCCCTCCTCCTGTTTTTGAGACTCTGTTTTTAAATACAACCTAGACCTGGTTGTGGAGACTGTCTTCCATGAAAATTACATATCAGTCGAAAAATGAGGGCTCAGCGTTAAACAACCTGTCGCCCCCCCCCCCCCATCTCGCCTATGTCAAAGTAGCAAAAAAATTCCGCTCCAGAACCAGTTTGTGTGCCAAAGAGAACTGAGGCCATTTTGAACATTTAATGAAGAAATCTTAATATTTTTTTTTGCTATATACGAAACGTCCATATGTTTAGACAACCTTAATTGTTTAATAAATGTAATCCAAAATGATTTAACCTGTGCTGTACTAGAATCATAATTTACACAATTAAAAAAAACACCCTGTATAATTCTGATGCTAGAGCCAGAGATAAGAGAGTTACAGAGATGATATCGATTAACACCTATATGATGCGATATTTTCCTTAGCATGTTCTATTGTGTACAAGTACTGTACACGACTAATCAGGAGACATCTGTATTCAGGGATATTGAAGGATCCTTTGAATAGGAAATGCAAGATCTTAAAAAATAGACAATATTCATAAACGTTATGTTTTATGTTTAAAATTGGAGTATTTCTTTAAAAGTTGTAAAACTTAACCCCTGAATGCAACAAATGGCCGTGAGATGTCAGTAAAAAAACATTACATGGAACCGTAGCATGGCGTGCCGGGACACTATAGGCCTGCTCAGCCTATCCATGTAGAGGGTATGAGCAGTCTGTGTAGTCTGTGGCTCGAACATAATTGCAAAGGAATATGATAAATACATTTCTCTCAGCTCACTCAATCAAATGTAAGCCAATTATACATACATGTGTTAGGATATATATACATGCAATACTAATATATAGTTATTTGAAATGTGTAGGGGGAGGGGGCCGGGGGGGGGGTTATGTTTGAAAATTTAAAGAAACATTTACTTATTAAGAATCAAGGGGGCGTCTGACGTTTTTGAGAGAAACCTTGCAGAAGAATCAAATTAGATATTTTTTCTTTAAAATTGTTCACCTGGTCATTGTATAGGGGTCCATTACTACACTCACTCTCTGTAGGAGAACATATTAGATTGTTTTCGTCCTGATACAAATCCATTCAAATTCAATCAAATTCAATTAATTTTATAATTGACTAACAGTGAGGTCCATAAATCTGTGGAATGGGAAGATAAAATTTAAGTAATATGATATATTTTTAATGTTTAAACAAAGAGAATAAAAACCAACTTGTAAAGTGGAGAGGGTCTGTGTACAATTGTACAAATTAATTTACGGAAACCCGGAGATATTAAATAGAATTGTCCTCTGAAACATATCTTATTAAAATCATTTTTTTTCTATTTTTCAATTCTCGGACACAATTAACATAGATTGACACTTTTAATGAATTTCCTCCATTTTTCTTCCGACTACAGGAGACCTAGCTCCCAGCAAACTAAATAGAAATTATGCAAATAAAATTAAGTGAATTATATTTTTCTTCAGCTTTTGTGTTTACTTTCGATTTTCGTTCGAATTTTTTTTTCACACATTTTAAAATCGAATTTATTTCGAATTTTGAAATTAACGCCAAATCAGTTCATATTATTTTTAAAAATATTGATTGTACATAAATTGTGCATTTACAACAAGAAATATAAAACTGTGCAGAATAAATGTCGTCTGTGTCCTTTCATTTAAAAAATCGTCAAAATATTTGCAATTTTGCAAAGGATGTTTATCTAAAATCTTAAAACTTAAAGAAAAACTAAGACAGACGAGAGTTCCACTGTTTTCTGGTTCTCACTGCATTAATATTGAAAAGTGAATATAAAAATGAATGAAAGTATTTCATGAATAAAGCAAGATTTTGGCAAACTTTGGTTTTCAGATTTTCGCAAAAAACTGCGGGTAAAAACTTGGCACAAGGTTTTCACATCCTTTCCTCAAACAACAAAGAATATTTTAGTCAGGAATATTATCTTTACTGTACAGTGAGATGCAATGAGAATCAGAAAACTGTGTAAATGTCGTCTTTGTTCATTCTTGTGGTACATTGCAACAGTTGTAACTGTTGAGGGCAATTCTCCAAGAAATATTTCAGTTTCAAATTATGAATCATAAATCTTTTATACAATATTATGACTGAAATAATATCTAAGACGAGAAAACTTGACTATTTATTGGTTCTAACGGACGGAAAAATTGAAATTAACCCTTGAATTGACAAAAAGTTTACCTTGATTAACTATTTTATATTCAGTTATGAAATCTTAAAGAACCTACCTTTTTTTGAACTTCATCCTGTGAAAGCAATTTAAATAATATTGATTATTAATTTGTTCAAAAGGACTGCAAAAGAAAAATGACTGATTATAGAGCATTTTAAGTGTAGATCGAGACCTATAAAGTTCTATCTGATGTTCCTATCTCGATAAATTTATATGAAACAGTGTCAAAATTATACCAAAACTCATATATTTGAGATTTAGTATCAGATACTAAGTTTTAAACATATCATATTCAGCAAATGCGCAACCAATCTGAAAACTACGATTTCCCAGAGAAGCCTGAAAAACTCAGGTTTAATCCTTTTATAATTTGAATTAATAATTTTTCATTTTTAATAGATAAAAATTGATAATATTAAGCGCTTTTGATTGCTGCTAATTGAGAAAATTGTTAAAAACTACTCATACCGAAGAACGTAGTGTCCAAATTCAACTTGGATCGTAAAAAATGAATTTAATTCCAAACAAATTATTCAGATATTACACCATCGATAATTTTTCGACGCATTCTTATATAATTGATATTTCATAATATCTTTTATTTTTTATAGTCTGATAATTACTTTTGAAAACATTTATTCCTCTTTCGAGGATTTTTGCTGATGAAGACGACATTTTCATATTTTTCATATGTTTGAACATCCAGCGCCAGCGAAATATTATTTTAAAAAAAATCAAAAATGTTATGAAATATTTATATATTTAAATATATAAACGAATGCATCGAAAAAAAAATCGATGACTATTGTTTGCAATATCTGAATTATTTGTTTGGAATTAAACTGATTATTCTACGATCCGAGTTGAATGTTGCAACTTTCTGAATTTGTATTGACTCTACGTTCTTCAGCATGAGTCGTTTTTAATAATGTTTCTTTTTATAGACGCTACAATATAGAAATAAGATTAGAAGCGATCAAAAGCGCTTTTTTTCGCCATAAGCCTGTACCCCCTTTCATTTTTCGCGAACACTCCCTTTTAAACGTATTTTTTAAAATTATTCATAAATAAACAAGATGACTGAACTTTAAACGACCTTCGTGTGAAATGTTTAACAAACACTCTAATGCAAATTTATTCTTAAACTTGAACAGTTAAAGATGGAAAATGACATAATTTCTAAAGGAAATGTTTTCATCAACACACATTACACTTCCACTTAATTCCATAATATTGCTACACATAACATGGCAAAATTGGAATAGGGTTGAGCTACAGCGATGAGCGGCGAAAAAAAGAAAATTTTGAGAATTCATATAAGCATTAAATTGCTGAATTATATGGGTTGTGTTCGTGGACATTTCGTGAAATTGTAAAAATTTGTGAAAATGTTTCTCAAAACTTAAACAAATTATTAATGTCTCGGTTTGCTTTCTCAATGATTTCTGAATACTTTCTATTTCAGTATATAACACTGTCTAAGTTATTTTCATATTGGTTTGCAATTTACAAATGCCAGTTTGCATTTATTTATAGATTCAGTCTCAACGCCTTGGGCTTTGATGTTACCACTCTAACTAACGTATGCTTTTCTGTAGCCATTTACATGTACAGTTAATCCCAGTAAAGCACTTGTTGTTGGCTTTGGTTTTTAAAAACTAATTTGCAAAATTCTTATCGATTTTTGATTGAGAGGTTGCAATCTTTAAATCACAGTGCACGGGAGATGGCTAACATTGAATTAATATTAACCGTCACATTATAGTAAATTCAACGTAAAATTGAAATCTTTCATGTTTTCCAAAATAACTCCTTTTATTGAAGAGATATTGAGAAGAACAAAAATGTTTTGAATAATTTTTTATATATAACCGGAGCAGAGGTTTAAATTTAAGCCGCGGCTTAAACTTGGTTGGTTCCACTTAAAATTGTATCAAATGTTTCAAGATTTAAGCCGGCGCTAAATTTAAACCGGGTTTTGGCGGATTTTGGCGGATTTAAACGCGGCTCAAATTCTTTAAATTCCGTCTCAGATATATATAACCGGATATATATAACCGGATGAATTTGACTTTTTCATAAAAAAAAACTAGAGGAGTTGGGAGGTCTCAAAGTCGTAAAACGAAAACTAGAGGAGCTGGGAGGTCTCAAGTCGTAAAACAAAAACTAGAGGAGCTGGGAGGTCTCAAAGTCGTAAAACAAAAACTAGATAAGCTTGAAGGTCTCAAAGTCGTAAAACCAAAACTAGATAAGCTGAAAAGTCTCAAAGTCGTACAAGAGATGTCGCATAAATTTGACCTTCTCCATCTGTCTAAAGTTTGCATTGATGAAAAATGAAGTACACAAATTGTTATTTTGGCCTAGTATTTTGAAGAAAGAACTGTTTGTGTATTTTAATTCCAAAAATGAAATATATTGGGTATATTCAATTAGAAAATAGATAACTTGACCTGTAAATAAGTTTTATTTAATAAAAAAGACGCACAATTTTTTAAAAAAATTTATCCTTGCTTGAGAAAGTTCAAGTTTTAGGTTCTTATCTTCTTAAAGTGTCAACAAAATGTACATTTTTAAAATAACTTTAAAGCTCTGTATTTTTTTAGTGTGGGGGGGGGGGGGAATTGTCTAATTTAACTACAAAAAAAACCCTTTATTTTGGACTAAACGGCCTGGGCCCCTTGCAATGATTAGATTTTTATATTCCCATTAATTGACAATATTACCAGTGACCCCCCCCCCTGGTGGATTCCTGAAAAGTCAACAAAACAGATAGATTTTTTTTCTATTAAGATTAATGCTAAAGTGCATAAGTTCAATAAACTATTAATGCAAAAATAAACTTTTACTTATCTTATCAAGTAACCTAAAGGGACTGTTCACTTTAATTCAAGGGATTCTCGATTGAAAAGGTTTATAGAGATATATTTTTTATCTGAAAAGGAATTGAGTCTTTGCCACATACTCAAGATTTATAATCTTTATTGCTTTGCAGTCGAGTCTGAAGATTTTTTGATCTGACAGAATCCATAGTTTGAAATATTTTGAGTGTTTAACATTGGGTCACAAAGATATATGGATTAGAAAATAAGAGTTTGTTGTCAAGACTCAATTCCTTTATCATTTTTTTTTCGTTGAAAACAACCTACAGATTTATTTAAACCGAAACAATGAAGGACACTAAAAAAACTTATCTCAATTCTTAAACTTAAAAAAACGACGATATATCCTTCATTGTGTCTATAAATGGAGGGTCACTGATATTTACTCGGACATTCTCTTAACAAACAATTTACCCTGATATGTTTACATCATTTTTATCCATTCAAGTGGAAAGTGGAGACCCATTTTCATAAATACGCTTCCATTTTTAATATATTTCAAGTTTGGAAAATGGGGTTTTGTAGATTCCCTTATAAACATGTAATTATGGTTTTCTGATAATTATGTCTAACTCGGTGATTTTTCCAAACCTTCAGATTTTATCACTTTTCAATATTATGTTTACAATACATATAAATCATTTTTTGCGGAAAAATTTTCATTAAAATTGTCTTTTATGTAAACATTTTTCGGAGCATTGCTTTTGCACAAAAATTATTGAATATTAATTTTTCCTTAACGTTAATTTCAGAAAAATATTTTTAAGAACAATTTTATAAAAGAAACAGGTCCTATTAACAAAACCTATGAAGAAGAAATTAGAAAAATATAACTTAATTTTTTTTTTCAAAAATTGATTATAGGTCTGGGTTTCTGAAAATTGTGACGTTTGATTTATGCATTAGAAACAAAAAAGGAAGTTGGCAAAAATAGGCACGTTTTGAGATATAAAGACGACGATATATATTTTTAATTGTGTCTCAAATAAAGGTTTAAGAGTATCGGTGTGAATCTGATTGATCTATGAAACTTATAATATATATATAGTGTCCCTTGGAACATTATTTTTGAGATATTTTTTTATAGGAATAAATGATGAATTATTTTTTCCCAATTTACGTCATGAGTTGCAGTTCGTCATAAGTTGTAGTTATGGTTCATGCAAGATTCCAATTATAAGAAGAGTTTCTGTTTTATTATAAAAACTTTTTTGATGTCAAAAGAAAATGGAATAAATAATATGTTTTACGTAATAAACTCAATCAAACTCATCTTTAGTTTCAATTAAAAAGTTAAAAAGTGAAGAATGAGAAATCAAATTATTTAAATTTTAAGAAAAGTAAAGATTTCTCTAGTCTGGGACTAATTTAAAATCTTCTGAAAAGTTTATGTTAAACTTTAAAAAGCTTGAATTTCTCAAAGTTTTAAAACTTTGCACTGCACTACCTTGAATTAAAAAAACAGAAATATTTCTTTTAATTTAGATTAAGATTTAGATTGAGCATTTATAGATTCTTAAAAATAAGAATAAAAATGCAAAAAATACCCCACTGTGAGAAGTACTTAATTTTTATTTCTTTTCAATGTTTTGAATATTGAATATTTTGCTCAACTTATTCGTTTTAAATTTGATAATTTAAGACATTGATGACGTTTATCGACCTGGATTACTTAAAGGGATAGTAAGCGTAACTTCAAGTGACCCGCCAGTTAAACTGGCAATACCAGATTTACAATTAACGGTATACCCATGAAACCGTTTTTAAATAAGATATTCATTTTTGTGTTTATTTTGTGGTTTATTTTGTGGCTCCCCAAAAAAGTAATTTATGCATTTCTTACAATGGAGAAATTATCCAGATTAAATACTTTACTAGTCATAAAAACGATGCTATATTTTCCACACTTTTTATCAGATTTAACTTTTAAGGTTAACGTTGTAAATCGGGCATTGTCATCTTTGCTTGAAGGGTCACATGAATTTACGCTTACAGTTCCTTTAACTCTGGCGCATCACTTGAATTTACGCTTACAGTCTCTTTAACTCCATTGTATCATTTCATTTACGCTTACAGTCTCTTTAACTCCATTGTATCATTTCATTTACGCTTAAAGTCTCTTTAACTCCATTGTATCATTTCATTTTCACTTACACTGTGATTTAAAGGTCTCACGCGTTCAAGCAAAAATTGATGAGAATTTTGCCAATTAATTATTGAATGCCAAAGCTAACAACAAGTGCTTTTTAATGCCAAAATGTACATGTAAAGGGCTACAGAAAAGTATAAGTGAGTTAGAACGGTAAAATCTAAACCCAAGGCGTTTCGACACTTCCATTTTCGCTTACAGTCCCTTTAAATCCAGTGTATCATTTCATTTTCGCTTACAGTCCCTTTAAATCCAGTGCATAACTCCATCTACACTTATCTTCCCTGCTGGATTCTAATATAAATATTAATATACCTGAACTTTATAAGAAAATAGACGTTGTTGCTCCTGAGTACAATACACCTGTTATACTCTCATGTTCAATTAGATCTTTCTGAAAATCTATATATAAATTTGGCTTCTCTGTCTGTTTGTCTGTTTGGGTGTTTGTTTGTTTGTTTGTTTGTTTGTATCCAATAAACGTCAAAACGGCTGAACCGATCGGGCCCAATTTTTTTGTGGGACATCTAGGGACCCCAGGGAAGGTTTATGAACGATCAAAATTTCAAATATTTGTCTACATCAAAATTCGATCTTCATTAAATTTTTTAAAATTTTGAAAATCCGCGAAATTTTTTGTGANTTAATGAATAAATTTAAAAAAAGATGATCTAGAGATGCACAGTGTTCAACACATTTGATGACATTTTTTCAGGTTGCTTTTCAATTGTTTTTTTCCAGAAGCATTTTAAAACGACGCAGCTACTCCTTGTATCTTTCAACAATTCTCTTGTATCATACAACAAGTGTCCTTGTATCATTAAACAATTCTCCTTGTAACATACATTAATTCTCCTTATATCATTCAACAATTCTCCTTGTATCATACATTAATTCTCCTTATATCATTCAACAATTCTCTTTGTATCATACAGCAATTCTCCTTGTATCTTTCAACAATTCTCTTGTATCATAAAACAATGCTCCTTGTAGCAAATAACAATTCTAATTGTATCATACAAGAAATGTCCTTGCATCGAACAAAAATTCTAATTGTATCATAAAACAATTCTCCTTGTATCATACAACAATTCTAATTGTATCATAAAACAATGCTCCTTGTATCAAATAACAATTCTCCTTGTATCATACAACAAGTGTCCTTGTATCAAACAACAATTCTCCTCGTAACATATAACAATTCTCATTAAACTATAAAACAATTCTCATGAAAATAATTCTCAATGAATGATAAAACAATTCTAACTGAATAATACCATAATTCTTATTTATTTTTTGTATCTCAGTCTTAAAACCCCATTTTCTCATAAAAACACTTGCTAAAAAGATAGACATATCAAAGGTTAAAAAATAATCCAGTTTTAAGTTACACAAAGCTCTTTGTATATTTACTAATTATGACTTTTCAATCATGAACATTTCTCTTCAAGACTTAAAAACCCTGAAACATATTTCATTGTCTAAAAACAACCAGCAACACAATTTCGAAGGAGTGCAGTGCTGGCGTAATTTATCTTAAACCTCAATATATAGATTAGCAAGTCCCATTTTCAAGAATGTCACTCAGAATATGGGCGGCCATTTTGATTTACGTGTACCATCCAGGGAATAGGAATAGAGGGAAAGGAAATGTACAAATACCCAAGGTACTAATGCAAGGAAAGTTAATTGTAGTTGTGTATACTCTGCGTACATATTGAAACCAGTTCTCTCTGGGCGGAATACATGCATCAGTGTTCGTCAAGTATCCGAGGAGGATTAAAGCATTTAATTTTGATAATTCACATAATAGTTTCCTATGACCAGAATATTTCTTTGATTATTTTTGTTAAAAATGGATTCCATGTCAGGCTGTGGAATCCGTCTTGTGTCTACATTACCGCCCAAAGACAGTACACTGCAGTACAAAAAATGCGTACACCTCTAAAATAACTTACCTTGCATTAGTATCTTGCAAATACCGAGTTACTTACGTACTGTATAAACCTACATTACACACCTTTGGTTCTGTAAACTTTGCACACACTCTTTTGGTACAGACACACACACATAACGTTTCCGCCCCCTGGTACCATCCTTTAAATTAACGTAATCTGCAGTACGGACACTAGAACTGTAAACATCACTAAATATTTCCAATAAAAACCTCCAGTGTATAGCTACTGTGTACAGAGTAGGTGTTGTCTACCAGTATATAGGCCTGTCAGGCAGGTAGTAATATATAGGTATACAAGTATCGTTCTATCTATCTTACTAGACATAATACTCAATATATAGGTATTTACAAGTATCTTTCTATCTATCTTACTAGACATAATACTCAATATATAGGTATATAAGTATCTTTCTATCTATCTTACTAGACATAATACTCAATATATAGGTATATACAAGTATCTTTCTATCTATCTTACTAGACATAATACTCAATATATAGGTATATACAAGAATCTTTCTATCTATCTTACTAGATATAATACTCAATATATAGGTATACAAGAATCTTTCTATCTATCTTACTAGATACAATACTCAATATATAGGTATACAAGTATCTTTCTATCTATCTTACTAGATATAATACTCAATATATAGGTATATACAAGAATCTTTCTATCTATCTTACTAGATATAATACTCAATATATAGGTATACAAGTATCTTTCTATCTATCTTACAAGACATAATACTCAATATATAGGTATATACAAGTATCTTTCTATCTTTATTACTAGATACAATACTCAATATATTGGTATACAAGAATCTTTCTATCTATCTTACTAGATATAATATTCAATAAATAGGTATACATGAATCTTTCTATCTATCTTACTAGATATAATACTCAATATATAGGTATACAAGTATCTTTCTATCTATCTTACTAATAATACTCAATATATAGGTATACAAGTATCTTTCTATCTATCTTACTAGATATAATACTCAATATATAGGTATACAAGTATCTTTCTATCTATCTTACTAGACATAATTCTCAATATATAGGTATATACAAATGTTTTTCTATCTATCTATGCTACTATACTTATAAATACCCAATATATGTATAGGTATACGTACAAGTATCTTTCTATCTACCTTATTAAACATAAATACTTAATATATATCTATCTATCTAATCTATCTTATTTAACATAAATTCTCAATATATACGTTTGCAAATATGTATCTATTTGTTATATTTAACATAAATAAACATATGAATGAAATGAATATCTGTAAACCTAAATTACGTTGGTTGTACATAATTAATTATCTACGTTTGTAAATAACTACGTAAAATCCATATCATGATTCATCTTAACTGCGGTGTAAATAACCAAAGTGAAAAAATACTAAAGTGGAACAGACCAAGGCAACGACGACTGGTTGGGCCAAAAGGTTTTATTTGGTTTGGAAAAAAATTGCACGAGAAGATTTTATTCGGAAAGTAAAGACTAGAAAAAATAGACTTTTTTATGACAATTATCAAATAAGATTAAATGAAATATTGCTTCTGAAGCAATGAACTTTAAAATGTAATTTACCTAAATTCTTTCGTAAAGTAAAAAATTTTACTGTTCCTGATAATCAACACAAAAAGAACAAATAAATTTATAATTGGATAAGATAAAAACTAAACATGTTTAAGTTAGTTTAAGTATTTATTCATACATTTTTCTCACGTTGATTTTAGATAGTAATTGTAAAAACTGATGTTTAAATTTTGATTTAAATGAAAGTATTTGAATAAATAAAAATAATTTGTCTGGGGTTAATGAATAAATTTAAAAAAAGATGATCTAGAGATGCACAGTGTTCAACACATTTGATGACATTTTTTTAGAGCGGACCGTCTTTTCAGAGTCACCCCCCCCCCCTCCTTATTGTAAACATCGGTACAGTACAAGTCCCGGGCCGACTTTTAATCAGCTGAAGCAAGCTGTACAAATTCCAAAGATAATATATATATATATATATTATCTTTGACAAATTCAGACCACATAAGGCAAAACTGGACGGTACGCCAAATGAATGATCCGTTTCTAGTGAAATTTAGGTGACCAGGTCTCCAACTATACTTTTTGGCAGACCTGGATGAAAAAAACTTGATGTTAGTTTATAATTAAAAGGAGTATTGATGGAAAATCCATAATAACAAAAATAACAATAATTTGATCTGTTCCCATTAGAATATTTATCAACTGTAGACGTAGTTATATAATGGTAAATAATGAGTGGAATGTTGTATCCACAAGGTAACCTATTGAACTTATGTTTTATCAAAGATGTGGCGAATGATTTTTAAGCGCTATCTCATTGAAAAACGTATCACTCTGAGTCTGGCGAAATAATTAAAATAAACCTATTCCCATGGCTTCTTCTATATATTATATACTTTGCGCGTCTGCCAGTTTGTTTGTTTGTCCATTTAGGGGGGTCAGCAATATTGAGTTTGCTATAAACCTCTTATTCAACTCAAATAAGGCTTGGTCGCATAAGCAATTTTTTATTAAAGAAGTCTCTAAGTCGTAGTAGTTCAAAAATCCGACGAAAACTGGTCGTTTCCAGTAAAACTCTTAAAATGGATATTTTAAACACAAACCAGACACTATACAAACACTTTGGTGGGCTTGCGACGCCCCCAAGGCTCTGATTAATGGTCGTTAGTTTAAGATCCTTTTAAATTTCATATGATGAAAAAGATATAAACTATACTTTTTATTAGGCAATCTGTACGTCTCCTGTGTAACATTATGACCCACTCAACTTAGAATCTCAACATTAGTCTAAAAAAATTCCCGTTACTCTTCCCCAATTAAAATTTGAGGCAAATCAGGGTTTCTAAGTTATACTCGAACAAACAAACGGACAAACAGAGATTACAACTTTATATATATGGATATTGTCAATGTATATATATATATATATCTCATGCAGTAAAGAAGATAAAGACTAAATATCTGCATTGAATTAACATTAAGAATATCCAATACGAAGAGATATTTAGAAGAAAAACTATTACTATCAGAGAATGGAAGATTTTTAAACCAACGGAAAATTTCGTCAATCTACGAAAAACGAACACAAACTCAGACATAAAATTCTGATATATTTTGATCCATTTTAAAGTCCTTAATTTCTTTTAAAGTTATTTCTAAATAGATTGAGTTTAAAGATTTTGGCTCCCTTGAGAGTTTTAGTTCAATATTTCCTTAATATTACAAGCACATTTGAGGAAGGATCAAGAAAAATATCAAAAAAAAAAATTTAAAATTAAAGTAAATCAGCAAGAAAAAAGAAAAGAAGTAGATTTTTCAATGTTAGACTGTTAAAAACCTCGAATATTCTGATCGAAAGCATTTTAA